ATGGTTTAACTGCAGTTTATTTGATGTTCATTGGATGCCAGTTTGGACCTATTTACTCACATAGCCTCAGTGCTTGTACTGCCAATACAAAGCACTCAGTGTACATCCATCTATCCATTCATCCAGCCATTCAAGCATAACACAAATCACCCAGCTTACCCTTTTAATTCCACATGGGTGGGTGCGCATTTCCACATAAGCATGGGTGTTTTAACAGATACATGGAAGCTTAAGGGTTCTGCACAATAGCATAACTGTTCCTAGGACTGCACACTTCTGGACATATATATTTTTTAATTTGTTTATGACGTTGACCCTGAGATCTGCTTGAGCAACTCTTCCAGTTTGGGGCTCCAAGCCCTGAGTGCTCAAATATGACTATGGACACCACATAGTCATGCTCCCAATGTTTCAGGCACTCTGTCAGCTTTGTCTTGTAACCGCTTCCTGGATCTTTTTTTTTTTCAGCGGTTAAGTCACTAAGAAGTGTGATAACTCAACAAGAAGGATCTGTCCATAGGACCTGACTTAACCTTAGATTAATCTACTGTATGTTTTCTTTTAGCCAATAGTATTTATCAAGCTTCTTATGTTCCTTCTTTTTGATGTTACAACCGCTTAGAATTGCTACATCATCACTGGTTTTTGACCACCACAATGTTTGAATGGTTAGCCATCACCTCTTTGTCAAACTGAATCTGGAAGTCCAACATGATCTTGGACCTGTCATTACCACCTGTGTTGAAATCTCCCACTTTGACTTCAGAACCTCCGCTACTTAGTCCTGTACACTAGTCCAGTACATTGAACCTTTATTAATACATGTTAGTCTTAATGAGCTTGAGGATTCATTTACAAGAGAGACCAGTCATTTGGTTATGGCATTTCAAGTATTGTTCGACTGCCTACATTTTTTTTTTTTAAGATAATTCAGGAACTTAGTACTGAATACTTGGTATGGGTATTCAGGTGGTATGGTCTACTATCAGGTGGATGTTGCAGTTTCATTGGTCTGTAATGTGATACTGATATTTGTGTATTTTATATCATGACTGTACAGTACTAGTAAAAATATTAGTATTATTATTATCCTGATGCATGCTCAATAATCCAGGTAGAAAAATCCAAAAAAGCTAAATCTGGTCCTCTGGACATTCAAAAAAACAAAACAAAGCAAAACAACTTCTTTTTTTTTTTGAATGTCCAGAGGACCAGATTTAGCTTTTTTGGATATTATTATTATTATTATTATTATTATTATTATTATTATTATTATTATTATTATTATTATTAGTAGTAGTAGTAGTAGTGGTGGGGGTGGTAGTAGCAGTAGTAGTAGTTGTAGTACTACTACTAGTAGTAGTAGTAGTAGTAGTAGTAGTAGTAGTAGTAGTAGTAGTAGTAGTGGTGGTAGTAGTGGTAGTAGTAGTCATAGTAGTTGTAGTACAGACAGTAGTTCAAAAAATTAAAACATATTCATAACCCTCAGCAGGCATAGTTCACCTCACTTGCTTTATAAAATGTGGGCATACTACTTTAGGCAATGAAGAGAAAGTAAACCATCAGGTCTTCTGTGAAAAGATACATGAAAAAAACAAAAAAAAAAAAAAACAACTAATAACATGAAGAGAAATTTGAAATTGTATAGGTCTGGTATAAACATACTCAGGAACCATTACATTTAACATTATGTTGGATGATAGCACTATGTTTCAGATCTGGAATGTCTCCAGGACATTCCAGAACTAGGTGTGAATGTCTTAAACACATAGCTAAGAAAAAAAAAGAGGCTGATTAAAAAAAAAAAAAACTAATAAAAAATAAAACTAACGCAGAGTAAGATTGTCAAGTAGAAGTGCAAAGGCATTAAAGGCAAGAGACTCTTAATGGACCAGATGAGTGAGCATCAATTGGATCACAAATAGGTGTAGGCCACTGCTTCAGTTTCAGCAGCAAGGTGTAGATAAAGGAGTGGAATTGGTTGCAATTAAGGAAAAGTCAATTTTAGATTGAGAAAACACTGAATGTTAACTCTGACACCTGCAGCTAGAGTATTGAAGGCACTCTTGCCAAACATTATTCAGTGCTTTTGGATTAATAATGAGAATGACTCGATTTTTATGGAGAAAAATGCTTCATAAAACATGCAGATACTTCATTGCTTAGATAGCATAAATGCTTGTGGCAGGAGTTGTGAAGGTTTATTGAAAATTATATACTTGGTGTGACTAATTGGTTAAAAAATATATTGAATTTGAGATGTTTTTAAATGTAGTTGTCTAGTAATTATATTAATTTAAATTTTACTGAAAAACCTCCCTCAAAGCTTTTTACATAAAAATATATAT